ATGGTGACCCTGTTTTAGTTACCCTGTCACCACACTGCTGTTTATGAATTAATCTAAGTAGATTTTAATGATGTATTTAACTGCTAAATCTTCAGGACATCAAAGAGCCATATCTAGACTGGGCCATAGCAGTGATTTTTTTTTATTTACCCCATATTTGTTGAAAAAAAAAAAAAAACTGACAAAGTAAATACAGTTCTTTAACAGGGATATTAGGACCAGTTGAATTCAGAAGGTGTTTGAGTGCCCTCAACCCATCCAAACTCAAAAGTGATTCAAATTCTTGAACAATAGCTCTGAAATCTTCACAGGCATCGTAAGAAGCTTCTATGTCACCTTCTAGATCTGGCTCTTCAATTTCCTAATGATTTAGCAGTGAAATACATAGTTAAAAATCCACTTAGACTAATGCATAAACAGCAGTGTGGAGACAGAGTAAAGAAAGCAGGGTCTCCATACCTCAATATCTCTCGGATTGGTAAATTTTGTGTCTATCAGTCCAATGTGCCACAGATGCTCTGAACTTTGATTGCCTTCTGAGGAGAGTGGATGATTCCAGGCTTCTGCAAATGTGTCCAAGTCTGCCTGAATTCTTGGGAGAAAAGTGAAGTGCACACTGAAAAGGACCTCGACCACTGATATGTCAAGCAATCGTTATGCTTCCAGCGAGTGTAGCATGTCTAGTACTTGTTGGTCACCATGATTCTGACATCAAACCAAATGTATTAAATCCTATAGAAACAGTAAAAATTGAAATAAATGTAGGTTTAAAAACAGATCAGTTATTTATTAATAAATATAAAGATATAAATAAAAGATATTTTTAACTTAAAAGTAACATTGAAAAGCTACCAACAGATTACTTAAGTTACTAAATTTAGGCCTAAATGAAATTTCAGACAACTGTACTTTACGTTTAATTATGGACACGTTTACCGCATATGAAACTTCCTTGGTCAGTGCCTCTTGAAGAAAACATGAACCAGAAAAGTTCCAGAAATAAAATTCAAATGCTTTTACTTTCCTGAACTGGGCAGTTGTTATTTGCTGCATTCAAGTACACAACCTGCAAATACAAAGGAAAAAAGAATAATGCAACAAAAAGAACATAAATAAATACATTGGAACAGAATGTATTACAAGCTTCTTTTCAATAAACAGGAATCAATTTTCATATACATCATCGTGAATGGACTGATTTTGATAGCAGATGACTAGTAACACTGTAAATCAAATGCATACATGGTGAAACCTGTGTTTTATAGGAACACAGACTAAACAAACCTTCAAATATTACGATGTATCTATTTACAAGATTAAAGATAAAACACATTTTGAAAACTTTACTGTAATTCCTATAGCTTTATATATAGCCTATGTATGCATGTGTGTGTGTGTGCGTGCATCATTACAGTCTTTAAAAAGGGTTCATATGTGTATCTCTTATCATCACAAGACTGCAATCACTAGTAAACGGAAGACTTCCTATTAATAAAGTATCTGAAAAAGATCTACTCTATGAACAATGCATTAAATTACATTAAATAAAGACAAAATAAATAAATAAAACAAGCAAATGAAACGATAACTCACATGTATCTGGTCCACTGATGCCATGTCTTAAGTCACTGACTTCCGTAAAAGAGGAATAACCAATGACATTTGAGGTTACAATTAAAACAGCAAGCCCCGCCCCACGACTGACAAAAATAAAAGTGTTCGCGCGAGCAGGTGAGGAAAGATCGAGCACGAGGATGTGGGGAATGATCATGCAGAGGACATCATCCCAGCATCAGTGGTGCGCTCGCCGCTCGGTTATTAATGGCATAGGATTGCCGCCATAGAACTGTGATTAACCACATTATTTTAGAAAGCTGAGTTAAATTTCTCTAGCCACACCCAAGCCTCATTACTGCCAGACCTGTTTGTGTGTGTGTGTGTGTGTGTGTGCATCATTACAGTCTTTAAAAAGGGTTCATATGTGTATCTCTTATCATCACAAGACTGCAATCACTAGTAAACGGAAGACTTCCTATTAATAAAGTATCTGAAAAAGATCTACTCTATGAATAATGCATTAAATTACATTAAATAAAGACAAAATAAATGAATAAAACAAGCAAATGAAACGATAACTCACATGTATCTGGTCCACTGATGCCATGTCTTAAGTCAAGAGAATTATAAATCATCTTATAACAGGCGTCCAATACTGACTTCCGTAAAAGAGAAATAACCAATGACATTTGAGGTTACAATTAAAACAGCAAGCCCCGCCCCACGACTGACAAAAATAA